TTTCACTGTCTCTTCGGGACGGTTTAGATCCGATAGGATCATCCAGGAGCAAAGATATTGGCAGCAATCTCAGACCTCCAAGATCACATGCAGTATTGTAGCGACGCCAGCTCCGTCCTCTCCAAGCCCGCATTTCTCATTTTAAACTTCTTGATTATTTTGTATTTTGTATTATCATCAATTAGGTTAATTAATTCCTCAGAGATTTTTTTTTGAAAAGAATGATGTTTACTTCCCCGCTGAAAACGTTATGTTAATCAGGAATAAATATAAATTCATCTCCTTGACAAGAAGCCATTGCTAGATGTAACCATACTGGACAACTTTTGTCCAGTATTCATTTCTCTCTTTTTAGGGAAAGTTATTGGGTAGGAGATTGCACAATAATTTCAGAGGATCCTGGATGAAACTGATTTATTCTAGACTCATTTCACTTGATTTCAGACCTGAGTATGGGACTCACATAGCATTGGTTGTACTTTTGGATGACCTCTGGCATGAACAGGGTGTGAGAAGCACTTCCATCCTTGCTCTCCTTGACTTCTCAGTGGCTTTTGATATCATGGCATCCTTTTCAAACCATGGCATCCTTTTGAGCCAGTTCTGGGAACTGGGAATGAGTAGCATTCACTGTACTGGGTATACTGTGTATACAGTGTTGTTTTTCCTTCTTCCTCTGGGATTGGTTCCTGTCAATGCTGATTGGGAGTGAGAAGTCCTGTCTTCATCCCCTGCCTGTTGGGGAATTTTCAGGATTCAATACTCTTTCCGCTCCTGTTCAACATACATCATAAGTGTCACAGTCGCTGCATCATGTTGACATCATGCAACGTTTTGTGATGTTTCGCCGTTCGCAGAGCTTGGGTGGGCTTGGCTGGCACATGGCACATCTGGCCCATGGGCTGCCTGTTTGACACCCCTGATCTTCATGAACTCACTTGGTGAGGTATTATCACTATGCTGGAAATAGCTACCTTTCTGTCTCATCTCTTGGTAAATTATGTGATATTGTTGAGATTCTGCCTCAGTGTCTAGAGGCAGTAGGAATTCAACAGGGTTCAGCTAAGGTCTAGCAAGACTAAGTGGTTGGGGATATACAGGTTCCAGGGGTTCATCTTTAGTTCTGGATGGGATTGCCCCAAATAGATGTATAGATGGGATTGCCCCAAATAGACACAACTCCTACTCAAAGATCAGATAACAGAGGGCTTCTGTGCAATTTCATGTTGTGCAATTGAGTCTGTTCCTGCATTGGAAGGTTCTGCTTGCAGTTATTTGTGCCCTGGTCACTCCTTGAATGGATTATTGTAATGCACTCTTCTTTGGGCTACTCTCGAGAACTACCGTTGGTAAAAAATATCACATAGTGAGCATTTATGCATGGTCCTTAATCAGTGCACGGTACATTTCTATTCCATATCTTGGTTGCTAAAATGTTTATTAATTAATGGTGCTAGTAATCATCTATAAAACCCTATATAGCATGGAGAAGGGTTGAGGGGCTGCCCCTCCCCAGTTGCATCCACCTATCCAATCAGATCTGGCAGAAGAAGCATATTATGAGCCCCATTTATGAAAGTATCATCTAGTAGGACCCAAGAAGACAGCCTTTTCTGCTGTGGTGTCCACCCTTTGAAACATCATTTCCACATATCTTAAATTGGCTGCAACCCTGGCCTTTAAGACGTGGTTTTGGCTATAGAGGTTTGGCAATGGTTGGGAACATTTACAATGGAGATGGGTTTAGCTGCTGATCATGTCTTTGTTTTTAGTGTGATCATGGGTTTTATGTGTTATATTTATGTTTTAACCATTTTAATTGGTGGTTTTTAACTGTCCAGAGTTAATTAGGTGAGATGGTAGCCATACTGTTTGAATAAATATGGTATGCATCAATTTAAAATTAAATTCTATAAATGCCAGCAAATACAAAATTAAGACACAAAGACTTTGTACCATGATCCAATATAAACCTCAGCAAGTCGTATATACATTTATTTGATATAAGTTCAATTAAATCAAGTAGCATTTACTTATTAAACATGCATAGAATAGGTTTACATGTCCTTTGGAATAATTGTTTTTCATTTGCCTAACTACACAAGAATTTATGCTACTCTGTATCATAAAGGAAGATTAGCAGTTTTGTAGTAGCTACTGAGATCCTATGGATGACGCTAGATGCTAGCAGCAAATTGCAGTGTCTAAAAACCTGTATAGGGCCTCTTGGCTACTTGCATGATCTCATCCTCTATCTGTTGGGTTGGAAAGTCCCGGACTTTCCAGACATATAGGTGATCTCATTTACTAACATCACCACTAGTTTTAAGGATTGGTTGGGAGTTTGTACCAATGTAGATGGGAGGTTTCACCCATGTGGGATCTATTCTCCAATCCAAATGCTGTATCTATGCTACTCTTCCTTGCTTGTAAAAATGGTATGGAAGAATAAACACTGCCCAGGCAGTCAGACATCTTGGCATCCTGCACAATGACTGATCTTTGAAATCCATCACAGTTTCTTTTCTCAGAAACTAAAATACTTGATAACATGCTTGGCAACATGAGATAATACATGTAATACAAAAGCAGATCATAAAGTATTTATTACCAAGGCTACATCTTCAATCCAATCTGATTCTGAGTTCACCAGCTGGAGTGGAATTCTAATTTCAAGAACAGAAAGGCCACAATTGATCAAGAGACAATTTCCTTCTATTTTAAATCAACTAGGCATTTTTGGATCATCTTGAAATTAATTCACAGAAAAAGAGAAGAATCAACAAGTATCGAGTTACATCCTTTGAATGCGTTGATTAGACCAGTAATCCCCAACCCTCAGTCCATGGACTGGCATTGGTCCGCAGCCTGCAAGGAACCAGCCTGTGCAAGCAAGCGAAGCCCCCGCCCTGCACAAGCGGAACCATGAAACCACTCCCCCACCCGGTCTGTGGAAAAACTGTTCTTCAAGGAACCAGTCCATGGCACCCAAAGGTTGGGGGCCACTGGATTAGACTGAAGAGGCTGGGATCTGGGACTAGAATACTATGAGATTGGGACTACTATTTTCTTCCTTTGACTTTGGAAGTCAAACCATCTCCTTTTCTTTCATTTAAGGTTCTGCTTTATAAAAGAAGATAACCTATTATATCACAGAAAAGGGCTATCTTGTCAAAAACCACTTTTCTAATATTGTACTTAAGAGCTGTTACAATTTTCTTTCCCTTGATTTTAATAGGATTAAATTATAAATTGTATGCTATTCATATAGGATGCTGTAATTTATTCTGCAGCAATAAAAGGTAATGCATTAATATGATTCAAATATATTTTTCATGTTAGTGTCATCTCAACATGCAAAACATAGGTAGCAAATTAGGGTTTTTTTTAAAGTGACCTGCTTGGTACTTGAATGATAGACCACCAGAAAATACCAGAGACATATGTTAGAGAGGGAACAAAAGCTCTGGAGAAGGAAATAGCAAGAAGACTATGTGGATATATTTAGATTGTGATAAGCAGTTGAGATTTAGCTTAAGGCCTTTACTTTGTTTGCTTCTCATTAAGTATACATAGGACTGCTTTCTTAACACTTCACACATTTTTAATAAAGGCTTCATGTTTCAAAATCATTGGGAGCTAGCCAGCATACAAATTTAATAAATAAAATACTGTCTAATCATCTCAGCTGGCTAGCAAAATGTTGGCAGATTCTATTGACTAAATAAAATGTGCACAAGGGATTTTAGTTCTGTAAATTTAATAGAGTAGCAGGAAACAGTGAGTTCCAGTCCAGCCTCCAGCAGAAAGCCAGCTGTGAAATTTTGTACCAATTACTCAATTATGAAAGTCTTGCCAAGAAAACTTGAGGGACTTGTCCAGCCGGTTGCTGGAATCAAAACTAACTTGAAGGTACAAACCAAATAAACTATGCTCCTATTGAGTGATTATGTGCCATCAAGACATTGTCAGCTCTTAGTAACCATAGATTTTTCTCCATGATCTGTCCCTAACTTGATCTTTCCAATCTTCCATCAATTACCACTGTAATTGAATCCATCCAGCTTACTGCTGGTCATCCTCTTCTCCTTGTTTCCACTTTTTCTAGCACAGAGCCCTTGTTCAGAGAGCTGGGTATATAAAGTGTCCAAACTAGGATAATTTGATCCTGGTCATTTGTGCAAACTCAAGTGATAACTCTGGCTGGAATGCTAATGTTTATCTTAATAATCTATATAGAGGAACCGTTTATGTTTCCTTAGAAGTCCCATCATATTTAGTAGAAGCCTCTTCCCAAGTAAGGAGGCATAAAAAAGCTTTCCGTTGAAAGTATTCCACTTTTTAATGTGTAATTACAAAAAAAAATCGTCTTAAGAGTAAAATATTATACCTTAAGAACCAGAACAGAACATTCCTCTTGGTAAACAGAAAACTTGCTGGTACTTTCCAAGCAAGAGATTAAATCTTTACAGGGCATGCTATAATAAATATATCATAAAATAGCCGACCATTCCAGTTAGCCGCATAATCCACGCTATTTTACTACACCCAGGAAAGCAGGATTCGTAGGTTCACGTGCAGATGATCTTTTAAGGCTGGTAACACTTATTTCTTGTGCCTTCGGGCATCAGCAGAATGCTTTTTTTTTTCCCGCACTGAGCAGCCGGTGTGCACAGCCTACTCGAGGCTTCAGCAGCGACATAGGATGGACCTCACACTTGAGTTCAAAACGCCCTTCGTTGCCCCCGCCGCCCCCACCACGCCCCCAACAAAAGCAACACGTCTCTGAGCGCGCCGGCGCGCGCGCAGAACGGCGACAACGGCTCGCTCCTTTTACAGACAATTCGTTTCCCGGCTTCCAAGCTCATGCGGCGAGCAGCGGGGCCGCCGTCGACGCGCTTCGTTGTTTGTCAGCGAACCAGATTGACGGAAATCTTTGACATGCGATGCTGATTGGGAGACACGCCGGGAAGGGCGGAGCCGCGGTCGCCATGGGAGACCGGTGAGGGAGAAGCCGGAAGCAGGCGCTTTAAGTAGAGGGTGGGGCGTATTCAGTTATATTAACTTCGCGGGAGGCGCCGTTGAGAGCAGCTGTTTGCGGTTCGTGGTGGGTGGGTGTTCGTGTTCTGAGGTGAAGGAACAGATTATGGGCTGCTTCTTCTCCAAGAGGCGGAAGCAGGCCAAAGAGGCCAAGACTGCCGCCGAGGGCGGAGATCGGAATGGCTCTCTGTCCGCGGAGGCGGACAAACAGCCACAGTACAGTTGGGACCAGCGAGCCAAGGTAACCGCGGTTTCCTCCTCTGAAAGCGGCTGCCCTTGGGGGTGGGGTGGGGGTTTGCTGCCGAGCGCACAGGGCTACTTCCTCTTCTTTGCTGGTCGCGTTTGCACAACATTGGGATCCATGGGGCTTGGCTGGTGGTGTGTCACGTGAGGCCTCGCCAGTTTGGCTAGATCAGGGGTCGCCGACCTTTTGGACCTCAGGGACCAACAAACTCATAATTTTAAATCCCGTGGACCAGAGAAACCCTGGGAAAAATCCCCCCCAAAAAGTCTGCAGGAAAATTCCCCACCTCATTTTCTTACCAATGGATCATTCTTTATTTGGGATCCAACACAGAGAGAGACTTTTGGCTTCATGCAAAGAAAGCAGCAGAAGTCTTTCTTTCTCTCTCCCGAACTCTGCCAGAAAGGAGTCTTTGTGAGACTTGTCACGCCAGGGCAGCCTCTTGGAGCAGGATGTCTTGCAGGGTCCCAAAGACTCATTTCTGGTGGAGTTTGGGGCAGAGAAAGAAAGACTTTTGCTGCTTTCCTTGCGTGTAATCAGAAAGAAGCAGCCCGGTGGCCAGGCCCCCTCCCCTCACTATCATGTTGTGTGCAATGCAAAGACATAAGCCTTGTGTTCCCATGGGCCATGTGCGCGGCACAGCCTTGTGTTCCCATACAGCCTGGATTAATTGCTTTGAGGGTGACATTTCTCTGCGGACCACCAGTGGTCACCAGCCCACTGGTTGGTGACCACTGGGCTAGATCATGAATCATCAGTGTGTCTGTGTGAACCCAATTGGTTGAGTTAATCCCATTTCCTGAGATACAGTATACACGAGTCGTTCCTTTGAAACAATAGAAAATATTGGTAGCTCGGGTTTTGATCTCCAAGTTTGCTTCAGTTTGGTTTCTGAATGTTTCGTTACCAGGCTAGGTAACATCAGCAGGATTGTCTTGCTCTGTTTCTCATCTTCTTCCGGGAACTGTTTCTTCTCTCCTTCCAAGGAGATTTTCCCAACGTCGGTTTTCCTTAAACGGTTACCATTCTAGCTTGGTTGGGAGCAGAACTCTCAAAAATATTGTGCTGAATGAAAATTCTGGGTGTTGTGCCAGATTTGGGGAAAGTTGCTTCAGCCCATCTGACACCTCACCATCACCTTTCGCAATGTTTTTACTTGCCTGCTTGGTCTTGTCAGATGATTCCTGTAAACGATGGATAGGCTGCTTTTGTGGCAAATAAACATTATCTGCATCTTCTTCAGGATTTGAAAGGTTATTCTTGTCATCTCAAAAGATGCGTGATTAGATATTCTTTACCAGCCTTTAACCATCCTGGTGAATTTGAAGCATTGTGGTGAGTCTTCTCTGTGTGGTAGGAAGCTTCCCAGCCTTTAGAAGCAGTGATTTTGTTTTATCAATTATAATGTAGTCTGTGTTGGACTTGGTAAATACTTAAACCTGATAGTGATGGTTCAGAGCACATCAACGTATTCTTGTGTACATAATCTAAGATATAATGATCTTCCGTTGTTTTCTATCTAGATATCTCTTGTGTATAAAAATGAGACTGCAGGTAATGACACAAGCTTTTAATATTCCCAGGGGGTTCTCTTTCTTTTTTTAATAAGTGAAGGTGTATGGAAGCCTCCCTTTCAAGATACATAACACTAACACAGGAGTTATTCTCCTTTATTTAAGAACATTTAGAGAGACGCTGTCAATTGTCCTTTACATTTGGTGCCTAAGGAAACATTGAAATATTTTTTGACTCATTTCCTTGAGTTATGAAAATAACTTCTCTATAATTTGTAATGACTAAAGGCTGGAAGTTTTAGGGACTTCCATCTGCATTTTGGGCTGGGGTTATGGCTTTATTTGTTGTATTTATGAGTTGCTTGCTCCATTGAGTTGAATTGAACATATCACCTTGAGATTTCCCAGTGATTTCCTTTCCAGTGACAACCAGGCCACATAAGGCATAATTTTCAAGGCTAAGTGCTGACTTTCACCTATTTTTAAAAATTGTGGAAGCACAGAATGTTTAAAAGTGAAATATGAGATTTTCCCCACCCTCCCCCAATTTTCTAATAAACATTCTTTTAAACTGGCTGCCAACTATTTTCCTACATGTTTGGTCCTGATTATGGATGTAATATCAATATTTAGATTTATAAATGAATTTTGAATTAAAAACAAATTGCAGAAATTAATTGTATATTTTAACTAGTTTATAACTTACAAAATGGTGTTTGAAATATAAAAATTGAATCAGCTGGTGTTTTAGAATGGGTTATGCCAAGTAATAAATTTAACTTGTCCTAATATTAAGAAGAATTGAAATTAAGTTAGTTGAGGCTTTATAATAAACATTTGAATGGGGAGGGTTTAACAAATATTACACAATGTATAATTTAATGTTGGTTTTTTCTTGAAATGATGGGGAACTTTTTGACATTTAAGGAAGCTAAGCTGAATTGAAATGCTGTTTTAAAAGATGCTAACTTGTGGAATTATATTCTGTCATTATTTGCACAATCCGGCCAATATTAGCAGAATAACTTTGCTTGTGTTTTCAGATTAGGTCAATTAGTTGTGACACAGCTTTTCAATTCCATTTGGCTTAATTTTAATCAGCACCTGCTGTTTTCCTGTTTTATATTTTGGAAGTGTAAGAAAGTATAAATTTTATTTTTTTATCTGGCTAAATTTCCATTTTTCAGTATTCTCTAGGAACGGAATATGTGATATAATTCCTTAAAATATGATCCTTGAATTATATGCATTGTCTAAACCTATAGATTTATGTAACTATTACTCACTACTTAATTAAAACAAATAACCTTTACATTTTAAGACAAATTGTTGTGCTTTTCTGATAAAATCCATATTTTCAAATGTAAATGTTTAATGCAATGCTTCAATATTATATTCAGAAGTACAATTCTATTACAATCTTGCAAGAAATCCTTGATACCAGTAAACTTAAGCCACTAAAAATGACAAGTGCAAAAGATCAAATTCACACATGGAGGTTCAGTTAAACTGATTGATTGCTAAAAGCCTATCCACAGGAATCTTCTCAACTAACAGTATCTGATTAGACATAAACAAGGGTCCATGGCACTCAAGCATGATTGGACTTAATTTGCTTGTGGCTACCTAGCACCAGGTTCTGCCGTGCCTTCTACAAAATACTTGATTTTCTTTTTATGTTGTACTGTCATTTTGTAATTGAATAGTATTTCACCAATCAATAGCATAGTTGAACTATCCTACAGAATGCTGTTCTATATTGATTAACAATTTGTAAGCTCTTAATAGAAGTTCTGTAAAAAACAACAACTTTCCTTCAGTCTCTTCAACAATGGAATAGAAATAGTTACTAGCTTAAAAGAACAAATAAAATAACATTGTTATTAGATACTTTGTATAATATAGTGTGGTAAATATTGATTCTACATTTTTTCCAGACTTGAAATGATGGGGAACAATTAATGACTTTTAAGAATATACCTTGACTATAAAAATTGCTTTTGTTCTAGATTGATCCAAAAGATTACATGTTTTCTGGACTCAAGAATGAAACAGTTGGACGTTTACCTGGGAAAGTTGCAGGGCAACAGTTTGTCATTCAGGACTGTGAGAATTGCAATATTTATATATTTGATCATTCTGCTACAATCACTGTTGATGACTGTATAAACTGCCAAATTTTTCTAGGACCTGTAAAAGGCAGTGTGTTTTTGCGTGACTGCAAAGACTGTAAGTGTGTTGTGGCATGCCAACAGTTTCGTACTCGAGACTGTCGAAAGATAGAAGTATTTCTGTGCTGTACCACCCAGCCCATTATTGAATCTTCTACAGGTATGAAATTTGGATGTTTCCAATACTATTATCCAGAACTAGCTTTGCAGTTGAAAGATGCTGGGCTAAGCATCTTTAACAACACATGGAGCAATATCCATGACTTCACACCAGTTTCAGGAGAAAATAATTGGAGTCTTCTAGCTGAGGATGCTTTAGTTCAAGACTATGTACCATTGCCGACTACTGAAGAATTAAAAGCTGTGAGGATTTCAACTGATGTCAACAAGAGCATAATTCCAATAACCCTAGGAGGACGGCCAAAAAAAAGTGAGGAATCTTGCTTAGTAGTGTTCTTTGCTGGAGACTATACAACTGCAAATGCAAGAAAGTTAATTGATGAGGTAAGAGATGAGATAAGGTAAAGCAATTTGCTTTACTTTATACTTTGTGTTTAAAACTAAAGCTATTTTGCCTTTTTAGAAATAGAAGTATTACAAATCTGTAGTTTTGAAATGGCTTTTAGAAGGCATAATCAAATCTTGACATGATGCAATTTTGCAATTTATATGACTGACAGCCTATGCTTTGCAGTCTGAAAATATAACCTGTAGGATGCAACAGGAGAATAATCCAGAGTAATATTTGAGGATACACATGAGGATTGCAGAGAGAGAAGAATTCCACTTCATAAGCTGAAGTCTGCTGGTACAGCATTAAAGAGAATCTTGCAAAAAGATGTTTATAGTATCCTCATGGTAAAGATCGGTGCCTATGCAAAAAATGTCAAACCAAATTATTTGATCTCCAATTAGGATAGTTTTTACACACTTGTTTTACTGCAAGTGTGTTTTGCTAGGGCAGAAGTACAAAGAAGAAAAGGGGCCAGGAGCCACATGCAAATTTCTTTAGCATCCAGAGTGGGAGGGGCTATATGTTGGATTTTCAATGCCTATTAAAGAGTCTTAAGATAGATACCTTAAGCCTTTGCAAATGCTTAAATCTCTTTCCCAAAACAGCTTTAATGCTGCTTGCTAGGTTACATTATATTTTACACTAAGCTGGAATGGACCTCAGACTAGCAGAAGTTGTGCATCCTTGTTTCAAGGTCTAGAAAGGATTGCAAATTTCCAGAATTTAGATCCAATAATAAATTATTGGGGAACAACTAATTAGTAAGAAATTTACACTTATCAAAGTCAGCATCTGACTAACAGTTCTTTAGAATCAGAGTTAGAAGGAGTCATATAGATCATTGAGTTCATCCTCCTGCTTATAACAAAATCCAAATTAAATCATCTGGGCATTTAAATTTGAATTGTTATACATGCCATAA